AATGTCCTCACAAATAGTTTACGCCGCTAACACGATCAACGTTCCAGATTTAGATCAATTCTGGAAACTGGAACTAATAGGCATACAAGACAAACCCGAGATCAATGACGATGAAGAAGCCTTAAAACAATTTAAGCAAACGATTAGAAAATCCGATGGACGATACCAGGTCGCATGGCCATGGAAAGATACCAAATTAAGCGACAAATTAAGCGACAATTTCGAATTATGTCTCGGACGCTTACAGTCGTTAATCAAGCGACTTCACCGCAACCAACATCTACTTACCACATACAATGAAACAATCAATGAACAGTTAAGATCCAATGTCATCGAAAGGGTAAGTCATTTCACAAACCATCAAGGTATTATCCATTACTTGCCCCATCATGAAGTGGTAAAATCAGATAACACCACGACAAAGGTCAGAATAGTTTATGACGCTTCCGCTCACCTCAGAGGCAGGAAAAGCTTAAACGATGTCTTGTATCGAGGCCCTATCACCCTTCCCGATTTAGCTGGAATATTAATTCGACTAAGAACAATGAAAATCATCATAATAGCTGACGTCGAAAAGGCCTTCCTACAATTAGAGTTGCTGCCAACGGAACGGGACTGCACGCGCTTTCTATGGGTAAAAGATATTCAGAAACAGGTGGACAGAGATAATTTAATATGCTATCGATTCAAAAGGGTTCCCTTTGGAGTGATATCGTCACCCTTTTTATTATCAGCAACTCTCAATTATCATTTGGAACATTATGAGACTGAAACTGCACGTGAAATCAAGAAGAATCTCTACGTCGACAATATCATCTTATCAGCGAGCCATGAAAAGGAAGCCTTGAATAAATATGAAGAAACAAAATCAATTTTCAAGGATGCGTCAATGAACGTGCGAGAATTCCTCTCAAATGACCAGACATTCAATGAGCAACTACCCAAGTCGGACCGAGCACGAATGAGTCAAATAAAGAAAATATTAGGGATTAAGTGGAATCCACACAAGGATCATATCCAAATAACACTAAATCCATGGACCGAACAAACAACAACAAAAAGAACTATTCTACGGTTCATCGCCTCACAATACGACCCACTTGGATTCCTAGTACCACTGATAGTACCGTTCAAGATATTTCTCCAAGAACTCTGGAGAAAAAACATACATTGGGATCAACCCCTCGACAATCAATTGATTGAAACCTGGAACAATCTTGTGGTAGAATGCCCAACTCATATCAAGGAAATCCCGCGATTCACAATCGATTTATCACAACAAATTACCTTTCATGTTTTCACCGATGCATCTACAGTGGCATATGCTGCAGTAGTATACGCCCATCAAAATACGCATACGTCGTTACTCTTTGCTAAATCACGATTAGCACCTATTAAAGGAATGACGATACCAAACTAGAATTACTAGCTATTCTCATCGGTGTACGCGCAGCTCAGTTTGTCATCAAACAAATGGAATTAGAAAATCCAAAGGTAGTGGTATGGTCGGACTCTCGCTGTGCACTACATTGGATACAAAACAATTCTCGTCTCCTACCAAAATTTATACAGAATCGTGTGGAAGAAATACAAATGGCGAAATTCGCATATCGGTATATCCCAAGCGAACACAATCCAGCAGACATTGCTACCAGAGGAACCATTCCGACTCGTCTAATAAGTTACGAGCCTTGGTGGAGCGGGGCCCACATGGATCAATGGTAATGAACCGAATTGGCCTCATTGGGAATACGACGTTCCACAAGAAGAGGATAACGAAGAAGATAAGAATATAGATAAGAATATAGTAGCAACAACAACCATAGAAGAAATCATCAATACAAATCGAATCAATCTCCTGGAGGCAAAACGATTCAGTAAATGGACAAAGATGATAAGAACAACAGTAAGAGTACTAAAATTTCTCAAAAAATTATCTAAAGGAAAATTAACCTGGTTAAGCAGCGTATCAGAAAGGAATCCGATTATACCCGAGGATTACAATCTCGCTGCGGAACTACTAATAAAACAATCCCAATCGGAAGGTATAACAGCAGAAGAAGTGGAAAAGTACAATCTGCACTATGCAGACAGGTACTGGAGATTCCAAAGCAGACTACAATTGCCGAACGACAGGGAATACTCATCCCAAACAATATATCTCCCCAGACACAATCGAATAACAGAACTAATTATTCAACACCACCACGAAACGACGCATCATGGAGGTATCCCTCAAACTATTTCCAGAATAAGAAAGCTTTACTGGATTCCGAAAGGAAGGGCTGAAGTCAAGAAGGTGTTAAACCGCTGTATGAGTTGCAAACGCTGGAAAGCCAAGCCATTCAAATTGCCACCTATGCCAAATTATCCGCAAGAGCGGATCACTGAATCAAGAACGTTTGGACGAATTGGCCTCGACTATTTGGGGCCGATTACTGTGAAGATACAATTGGAAAAAGCAAAGCGATGGATCGCCTTGTTCACATGCTTCACCACCAGAGCGGTACATTTGGAAATGGTGGACGATCTATCAGCGGAAAGTTTCCTAACTGCATTAAGAAGATTTGTTGCGCGACGCGGCTATCCCGAACTCATTCTTTCGGACAATGCCACCCAATTTCAGGCAGTTTTTCAAGCCATAAAAACGCAAGAATCACAACTCTCTAATTTCCTTGCTGAGAAAGGAATCAAATGTAAGACTATAACACCGAGAGCACCATGGAGCGGTGGAATCTACGAAAGATTAATCGGCCTAACAAAAAGGAGTTTAAGAAGAGCTATCGGTAGACGACTGCTTAAGGAAGGGGAACTAATCACACTGATTATCGAAGTGGAAAGCATTCTTAATACTCGCCCCTTAACTTACGTAAATTTCGACGACTCAATTATTTTGCGACCAATAGACTTCATCATTCCCAATGCTTCTTTGTCTATACTGAATAGCAATAACGACAGAGAAGACGAATTCTCACCTTATAGTCTAACCACACAAGAAAGGTTACTTCAACACTGGTCGAATACCCTAGAAACATTGAAAACATTTTGGGAGATATGGAAAGACGAATACTTGAATAGCTTAAAGGATCGATACCAATTAGAACATAAATCTCCAAGAAATGTAGAAAAGAGACAGCCGATAGAAGGAGAAGTGGTACTGTTAGATGAGCCTCATGCACCACGTGGTACATGGAAACTAGCAAGGATAAAGAAATTAAACGTAGCCAATGATGGGTACGTCAGGAGCGCTCAGATCGAAACATCGTCAGGAAAACTTCTAAATCGACCTGTAAGCACGTTGTATCCACTTGAAGTTACTCCAGAAGAACAGTCTACTCCGGAGAACCCCGCGAACCCATCAGAGAGAGCAGAACCAATTATCCAAAACCGAAACACCACAACTAACACGAAGATTTCAAGTGAAAGTGGTGAGGAGCAACCTATTGCTCATCGAACACGGAGCCAGACAAATTTACAAAAAAGGGAGAAGTCAAATTTCGTTTTAACCAACTTACTGTTAACAGTAGCAATATCGATAATTCTACAAGCAGCAGAAACGAAGGAATGCAAATGGACATCAGGTGTTCCATTTAACATGCCTCAGAAATGGAATTGCAAAACAATTGAAACTCGTAACGCCACACCGATTCGAATTACAGTCTACACGCATGTTCATGTGAAAATACCTACCACCATCCCTTTACATTTAATTCAAACTTGTACTACCCATAATCAAGGTTTAGAAAGTGTTGAAGATCACAATGTTTTATCCTATAAACCCCAAATCTATCCATTAGAATACTTTTCGCTCTTCCCTCGGGAGTGTCGAGAACAAGCTCGAAACTCCACTAGAAATAATCTTTGTACCGAACAATCGAATTTAGCAAAGGGTCAAATTTAAATCAATGTATTTATATTTAAGCAAATCATGTTAATCATTTATTGTAAGTTTTATTGTAATTCAAATTCTTTAATGACTCATAGATGGTAATGTGTTAACAAATTCCCATGCTAATCTGTCATATTATCTAATGCACATCTTTCCAATCCTTTGTTTGTTATCTAATTCCGTTTACAAAAACTATCTTTCCCATAGCCTTCCTCCTAGCTTCCATTGTATCAATCGCTTTATCTCTCCACCCTCAAATCATGCTATATAAGGGCAATTACCACTCAACCGAAGGATTGTTCCAAAAGTCTCCCCGTTGCTTAGCTCATCCTCCTCACTAAATTGTCAAACTACTGATTGCTTGTTTGGTTTAATTACCCAAGATAAAGCACTCGACTCAATTGTGCAAGTGAACCAACCCAATTCAATCCATTCACAACACCAATCCAATCCAACATTCACAACAGCAAATGATAATCATTGTTAATGCAATGGCTTACATATTCTCCTTGTTTTTATTAGCAAATTAAATGAATAAATCACCTCTTTCGTTTGCTTATTTGATGTGTAAAATAATTTGTCTAACAATCACTAATTGAAATGATAGTTTTTCTTTTTCATAGCCTTGTTGAATAAATCTTTACTATATTAGTTAATTTAGGATAAGGTATACATGAACAATTGTTTATTATTTTAACAATATTATAAACTTAACTTTGATGACTGTGATCATGGTTATCCTGATATAACTTATCATATATTTCAAGAACTTTATCTGTTATCAACAAGCGTATGTATTTGATTATCAGATTTTTAGAGAGAAGACATACAAATATAGATATTAATCGTTGTACATACTATGCAAAAAAGATGATAAAACAACAAAAACATAACAAAGATATAATATAACATAATAACATAACACAAAACAAAATTCATTTTGAAATGATCTGATAAATATCACATATTCACCGTATGTATTAAACCGTCACATAATTAGCAACTTTATTCGCACTTTTTTTGCACTACAAATTTTGTTTGACACGAATAAATCTAATTACATAGAAATTCCTATAGAAAAAATAAAAGAGTTGCAAAGTTCTACTTTTTATCATTTTTTTTTATCCTTTCGTTTTTTACCCTTGCTGGATTTTTCACTCAATTTTTGCATCTGTTCAACAGCTTCAAATGACCCTCGCACCACACGTACATCATAGGTCTTAGCCATTTCACCCAGTGGTCCTTCCGGACTTGCGAAACTTTCCTTATTTATTGTTGGAGTAAGCTATAACAATTCAGATATAATCATCCAGAAAGAACAAAAGCGAACAAATGTATTTTTATGAGTTGTAGAAAAACTAATTCAGGAAAAAAAAAATAAGCAATAAGGAAACTTCCGTATTTTACCTCTTTTTCACTTTTTATTTCTCTGCTAGCATCATCCTTGTCAGTGCTAATTTCTTCCTGCTTGTTTTCTGATATTCTTATCAAATCACGTAGAATAATTTTGCAATCCATATTTTCTTCGGCGTACTGCTATAAAATCATACAAAAATCACTGAAGCAAAATCAGGAGAAATCCAATAGTATTTGAAAAAATGAAATAGAAATGTACACGTATGAAAAATAAAACAGAAATAATATATCGCTGATACCTGTAATACTTTCAGATCATCTGCATCCTTCATCTGACAATTCCAGATTTCATCAGGGAAAATTGCTTTGATTAGACGCACTAAATTTGCAGCATCCTCAATCCTAAAATAGAACTAAATTAATTAATCTAGCAATATGCTGGAGAAAAAAGCAATTAAAAAAAAAAAACTTTCTTTTTTTCAGCCGCATAATGATTTAGTAGAGGTGAAAACTTGTTATTTAATACGATGTAGAAAACGAAGGGTCCAAAATGTCTCGTCGAGTGTAGATTTGCAAATTTATTTTCATTTATTGTCCGATCAAATATCACGTGACAGAGCTAAAACTTGTAGAGATTTTCGTGAATTTTCTATGAAACAAATAAAAAAGCAAACATATGGTATGCAAAAACTTCGAGCATACTTTTGTTTAACTTATCTTCTACACTTTTTGCATTTAATTACATTTTACTAATATTAAAAAAAAAATTGAAAGCCTTGTAGAATGCAGTAATTTTCACTGTAAAATACTGAATTAAGAAAAAAAAATTAGAAGTAACTTATCAAATGGTGATAGCATCGATAATAGATCACATTTAATTAGATTTATGAAAACTGTGAAGACTATAAAAACTAACCTTGATGAAAACGGGGTCATTTGGTAAATAATAATGGCAAGCCCAATCAAGGACATATTCATGGTCATTCCTATCCAATGCCATCTAAATAAATTTTTCAACACTCTAGGAAATGTTTAGAACTGGTTTATGTCGTATAAAATTTCATCACTACTCCAAAAATTAATTGTCACTATAAACTGCGAACCTGTAAATATGGATCTTTGAATAGCGGTGGCTCATATATTGGTCGATAAGGGTGACCTTTGTAAACCCTTGTCATTCGGTCTCGTTCTTCTGGTGTTGCACTCCGTAATGTACCATCTGTTTCACGTACAACAACTGAGCGAACCTGTAATGTTATATGATGTTTTATATTGATGAAATTGATGCATGTTTACATCAAAATTGAATACAAAATGTAGAAATAAATGACATTATTTGAAAATAAAAAACACAAATGAATGACTTCACCTGAACTCCAAGACCAAACGAAAGATCTGTAAAGACATATTTACTATTATCAAAGCCCTTAATTTCCGGATCGTTGGCTAAAATAATTGGTGTACTACAACGTGGTTCTAATACTGGCACAAACTGCAGAAAATTCGTTCCTATTTCTTCCATACTTTTCACTGTCTGAAATAATTCTAGCATATTTAAGCTAAATTTTTTTATCAAATCAATTTGCAATATAAATAAAACGTTTATTTCATTTTATAATTTGTAGTAAATTCTATAACTAGTATTACTATTGGTACACAAATATAGATTGCAAATTTTATATGAAATAAATTAATATAATATCGGAAGATTGAACAATTTAATATAATGCTAGAAGATTTACACATTATAAAACTTCAAAATATGAAATGATACCTTCTCGTAAGCTTCATCCGTCATTAAAGCATAATGTGCACGCTGAGGTTTAGTAATTTGCCGATTTTTGAATAATTTCTCCCTAAGATTTAATCCCGTAAGACTTTTTAATAAACTCTGAATATCACTTCTTGTGAAGAGACGTTCTACATCAATGTTATTACCACCATCAGTTTGCTGCGTTTCAGCCACTGTTCTGCAAAACAAATTCAGCATGTCATCTTGAAGTAAAACAAAAATCACAGCAATGGATTTATATAAAATGAAAAAACGATGTTTGACAATTCAAATGCTTTTGAGCATGAAAATATAAGATATCGTAACAAACATTAGATCTGATTGCCTCTTTTGAGTTTTTCAAACATTTAACATTCACTCACATAATAATTTTCGTCTAAAGAAATTCTTCCATCTTAAAAAACAATTAAAATAAATGTAAAAGCTTCTATTTTCTATTCCCTAACTAGTATCATAAGCTCATTTAAAACAAATTGTGTGCTTCAACTTGCATATTTCTTTTATTTAACCTTAAGTTTCGTAGGTAGGACTACATTAACTCTGTAGTACAGTGAATTTACACCCAATAAACAATCTTATTTTTACATTATTATAATTATCATTAATATAATTTTACCCTGCACATTTGATCCAAGCAGAGTAGAAACTTCTTCGGACTGCCACATGATCACAATTCCTTGATCTCATTAATAATCTCCATAAATTTCTGGCTACAACCATATTTGAAACAGCGAAAAAAAAATAATCAATCAAATCTGAAACAAATTTGAAATAAAAATAAAAAAGAAAAAAGAACGATGAAAACCATCTCTGAAAGAAATTTTAACTAATTCATTAAAAAAATATGAGAAAAAAAATATACAAGAGAAAAACATTTTTAAATATTTTTAAAAAAATTAAAAAACAGAGGAAAAATTGAAAAAAAAAAATATAACAAAAAGAAACAACAAAAGATACTAAAACAGAATTCAACTTTTTCATGAATTCAATATGCTATAAAAGGAATCAGCATAATACTCACATTTTAATTATAATATTGAATCAAATTTAATGTAATAATCTAATATAAATTTAAAAAGTATACATATAGCTAAAAGAACTCAAACATACTACCTCATTATGGGAATAAAATTGGATGAAGCGGAAATTGCTAAATGCAAATGATAAACTTGAAATAATACGGTTTAATGGATGAGATATGCGAGGATCATTTCGCGACACACATCGTAGCACAATTTATAGCCTGGTGATAAAATGAGGTTGTTGTTGACATATGTATGCATAAAAGGATGGATGGGTTGCATGTAAGAGAGGCTGGGTGTAACTTTAGGGTTGTTTATGCATGTGGCACGTGTTTACGTTCTCATTCACGCTTTTGCGTGTCTTACGTTGGCCTTGTGTACAATGCGTGAAAAATTGATACCATAAAAGGAGTTCGTGTCATTATCATATTACTCGATTGATCTCATTAATTTTGGTTAAAGTGTAAAGCTACAATAAAAAAGTATTTTGTGCAGTCATGGTGATAGATGGAGAAGTGGACAATAATTTAATATTATGTATTACTTAGCTTTTAAGTATTTGATTCATGCTAACTGCTCATTATAGATTTCTGGATACTTAGTACTGGTATCTAAAATTTTTAGTTGTTATGATAGCCTTGTAATAAAGCTGTAAGATTATGAAATTCTAATCCTAAAACTATGGTAGTTTTAGATATCTTTTCAATTCTGTTGATATTTTATTATAACAACATATTGATTTTATAGATTGTTAATCATTCATTATTGGATTTCCTGTATGAAAAACCTATTTCTTGTACGAAGAAAGCACTTTTATATCGTTATCAGAGATTTTTTAAAGCAAAACAACTGCAATATTTTCATACCAAAAGCTGATTTGTTGTTGCATGTCTTGGTATCACAATCCTGTTTATAAAAACTAAACTATGGTTGTTAACATAGTACTACTCTTTACATATATCTGGAAGTGTTGGTCGTAGATTGCTAACCATTCACCATATTTCTTTTACTCATGTGCATTATCGCAGTTGAAAATCAGCTGATGTGCCATTTTTTTTTAAGAAAAAAAGATTCTTTTGTGGATACAGTAGCTGTTTGATCAGTCGGAGTAAAGGTTGATTAATTTAATACTTGGAGTCGTTGTTTCTAGACTTCGACGAATGAATGGATGAGAAATTATGCTTTTTTTGCATATTATTACCCTCCGAAGTTTAAGCTATGGCATAATCATGTAGTCATTTTTGCATATTATTCTTCGAAATCTAAACTATGACATAATCATTCAATCATCTTTCTTAAAATATACGTGGGTATGTGTGTCTTTTACACTTGTTAGTCGACGAATGTATCTGATAAAAATGTTTTACGTACTTATGAAAAGGAGTAAACGTAGAAAAGGAAGAAAATGTCGATGCATTGATGTTTATGGAAAATTTCATATGCTGTCATTCATCTCTAGTGTCACCTATATAGTATATGAAACAATGTTAAGTGTGTGGAAAAAACATATCACGTGCTTGTAGTGACATTAAATATCACCTGTGTTATTTACGGTAAAAGATCACTTTGCAGGTTTTCTGCCATTGCTTTTGATACCAAAGCCAACACTTTGAAATGTCTACTACTGTTGTTGCTGCTGATTCAAATCAGTTAAATTTCAATCCATCATGGTCAGTCATTCCACACAGTGAAGTGTACTTTAGCCTTAAAATTTTTTCGATTTGTACATACAAAATACGAAATAATGTATTTGCATCAAATCTTTGATAACATATGGTATTCAAAGGTATAATTGCACTGTGTGGTGTCTAGAAAAAACGACTACGTAGATTATGTTACATATTACAACATATGTTTGTCTTTTTTTATGTGTGTGTTTTAGGATGCGTCCCGTTTCTATGCCGGTATCGGCTGGAGGTGGAAATAGCAGCGGTAATCGTACGGAACCACTATTTGCTGTTGAAAATGTGTGTTTTAAAATTTCAAAATTTGTTAAAGTTAAGATCGCTATTCAGTAAACAATTCTGCCATTTCATTTTATAGCTAAGTCGGTTACAAGTAGTTATCAGCTAATCGTCACTTGGAGGACTCATAGCGCTAACCACTGTTCCTGCTTTTAAAAGTCGTCGATACTCTTAATCCCGGATTCAAGCCAGTAAAAACTGATAACTTAATGTCAGTTTTAATGGGGAATAAGCAAAGGATTTTTTTAGTTGGTCTTTCAAATGGCTAAAAGTTTTATTAACGGTTAGATAGATAATTTGTTAACTGGCATTGCTGGATCTTAAATCATTGTGTTGAGAGCGCATTACTCCAAAATCAAACTATGCATTACACTAATGAACGAAATAGTCTTAAGTGTTATAGTTCCTGTGCTGAGATTAAATTGAATCTCCAGTTTGGCATCAACTATTAGTAATTCAAACAGTTAACGGGAATTTAATTTGGTTGTTATTTTTTTTTTTTACTTCTTTTAGCCCACAGTCGATTGTCCTATAGCGGATCCAGTTTTCGTAAAAAATCGTTATGGCCGTGAAGATCTGCTCGCTCTTCTTTCTAAAGATGTACATCCACCGTACGGTCTTGACAAATGCCAATTTTTTATATCTGCTGCTCAGAAACCAATCGTATTAACACCGCTTTCTGATACTGAGACGGTATCTTCATGCTATTAATTTCGTAAAGAATGCAAATAAAATATTAATTTTCATAAGGAATGATATTGATATTGCTGTTTCATAGCTGATGTCTAAATTTATGGAAAGATTAGTGTATACTTTATAGCGACTGCAACACAACATAAATTCGAGCAAAGCGATGAGTTTATTAAGCCATGCGGATCGAGCAACGATTGCTTCTGGTGGCATGATTGGTGGTCCGAATATTCCATTGCAGTTGAGAGCAGGCCAAGAAAATCGCTCATTTTCGCCATCATGGATACCTGCATCTGGTATGCAGGCTTATGACAACGATTTTTTTTCTTTCAATTTAAACTTCCTTGCAATGATTAATTCCAAAAATTTTATTAAATATTGTCTGACTTGGTTCTTTTTTGACTGAAGTGCTTGTTTTGTTGGAGAGATAGCATTTGTTGGATGAAATTTCTTCTGTTTTTTCTCCGTTACCATCAAATGACTATTTTCTTGTTCTTTAAAATCATTAACTGGTTTAAGCAAAAAATAGTGGTTCTATCTGTTGTAAGTGCTTTTTTGCAGGTATTTATTTGCAGGTGGTGGAAATAATGGTTTTGGAAGGGGTGGCTTGCAGTTTGGTCGTGCAGGCTTTGGAGGTTCATATCGTGGACGTGGTATGACGCAACCAAGCTCTACCAATCCATCCGAATCAGTAGTAATCGGACGATTTAGTTAGTTTATTGACGCTTGGTAATATAAGAATTCCTGTTTACTAGACATACTAGTTTCGTAATGAGTATAACATGTGTTTATGTAGATGCTAATCGAAATAATCGGGCCGGTGCAGCTGGTTTTGGTCGAGGAAGCAATACCACACAACCGTTTAATGCACGAGCTCAAGGTTTGTATGATCCCCGAGATCCACGTGATCGTCCGAGACAACGCCTTCGTAGCTCATCTGATGATGCACCAAATCCGTCATTTGGAACCACTGACGATTCTCCTGCACTTCTTAATAGTGGTTGGACCCAAGTAGGGCGAGCTGCAGCACCATGGAGTAAGAGAACACATATCAATGTGAATGCAATGCAGCAACCAGCAGCGAACGCCGAATTTACTAGTCAGTCACAATTACCCGAATGGATGAGTGATGATCAGGAAAGGTATTTTATCGTTTTAAAGATTTATTACAGTTGTTATAATGATTGCATTGATGTTGAAGGTGATTTAATTTATTTCAGAGGAGATAGTTCAAATCTAGATGAAACTGGTTCATTTGACGACAGCGGCCAATTTCAAACAGCAACAGTCATTCATCGAATGGCGACATCTTTGGATTTGATACAAAATTCTGCATCAAATATACCAGTAGATATTCCGGAAGGGTTTGTTTAATCCTTTATTTGATGAAATTTTTAACTTTATTTTCCTATTTTTGATCTTCGCTTTTTTTGAATTTAATACAAAACTCTCTTCCGAGATAATTTTAGGTTGTTCGATGTATTTTTCTCCCATCTATAATCTTTTCGAGATACAGAAAATTTACGAAAATCAAATAATTACTTTACTTTGTTTATATGAAAATATTGCAACGGAGAGAATTTATAAGTTATGCAATTTCTAGACAAAGGTCGTATCAAGAAGAGGAAAAACCGGCTTTAGCATCATCTGTACCTGTTACTGTTCCGAATACTTGGTCTGTGTTAGAGCAACCACAGTCAAATAGAATTACAAAACAGTTTGTCGAGGTCAAGCATTGCTTGTTTTAGCACAATTTAGATCATGTGAAATTACTCAGTAGTTTGTTCAACGGAACTATTATAAAGAAAATAGTGGCATTCAGTCATATGTTTCAGCTATTATAAGTACTATGAGATGGGTAGCCCTAACGTGTTGTAATTGATGCTCCTTTATTTGTTGTACTTTTTTTAAGCTTGCGAAGAGTCTAAAAAAAGAGGGCAGTCTTTATCCCTTCATCATCTCAAGTTTACTAGAGTAGTTGGAGAGCTTATGAGTAGCAACTGAAGTAAAATAATCAAGAATCACTAGTTCCAAGAGTGTTTAAATGAAAGAGGGAGTCAAAATTTTTTATCGAAATAATAGCCTCACTTGGCGACAGGAAAAAAAAAATTGGAAGAAGGTTGCACCAACTCAAAAGAATTGCTGAAGGAAAATTTCTCTAATTCCGTGAATTCTTGTGGCACCTCCCAAGATCCACTATTGAACCGAATGCTAGTATTACATACACGAATTTCCCAGAAAGTACGCACAGTATTTCAGATTAATCCAAATTCCCCTTTTGATTTGTTCAGAAATCGTTATAGGCTTTTATTTACAAAAATAACGATGTACTAGAAATAAGGGAACCCTTATGAGAGGATGTTATAGAGCGAATAATGATAATATTTGTAAAAAATTGAAATAAGAAACAACATTTCTCATTTTTTTTCACATTTCTGTATTCAAACTGTTTCAGAATCCTGATAATAACATAACTCTAACAGAACAGTCTGCATCCGTGGCTGAAACAACTGCTATAAACACCCCGTTTCAGCAAAATGTATTATTTTATGTAATAGCCTATTTTTGATCCCATTAATTCTTGCTTTTTTATTTTGCTGCAGCAGATATTCAAAATATTGTGGGCTTGTTACTCCTACATTTTAATATGGCTTAAAAAATGACTTATGTTCTGGTTTAATAAATGCTATGATTATGATCTCACGACATTAGATGATAGGTTGAGAATTAATTTTTATGAGGTAAATGTTAATCTTGTTTGCCTATGTGTATATTTATATATTTGTTAAGATTTAGGAGGCTGTACTCTTAGTCTATCAGTTATTGTTCATTATTGGTTTACAATTAAAATGCTTCTTAATAATGTGATTTTTTAGTATACGGATGACGTAACATTACTTGGTCATCCCGCTTCGGTTGGGTTAACTTCAAGGAGTGATTATACCGATGAGTGGTACTATGTGGATCCGAAAAATGCCGTGCAAGGTCCCTTTCCAACAATTCATATGCAGGTAAAGATTATATCAGATTAACAGAATGAGTGGGATGTTATTCTTAAAATCTTTTGTTTAAATATTAACTCATATCTGGAAAATAGAGCTTCTTTAAGCGAAAATTTCAGGCTTGGTATAAATTGGGATATTTTACATCAGAGTTACGTGTGCGACATGGACAGAATCCAGATAGCAGTTTTACGACTTTGGGTGAGCTGATAGCAATGAATGGCGAGGAGACGCCGTTCAAACTGAAACTTTTTCAACCACCAGTAATGCAGTTACCATTACAACAGACTCAGGAAGTTAGGTAAACATTCTCATTTTCTTTAATAAGCAATTAATCCTGAAAATGTAAAATTATTAAAATATAAAAAAACCAGCCAACTGATGGAATATTTTGGTGGAATATAAATTGATAGGCCTGTATTATTCTCCTATCACAAGTGGATTGTAAGTAGAGCGTTAACTAATATTCATATTATATTATTATTAAATCAATTTCCTAATGATCTTTGATATATCGCAGCAGAAATATATGGAGTCGAGATTATAGTGTATCGCTTATCGAAGCTGCAAAAGTCAAGAAAGAACGACAGGTCATTATTTTTGTGTTTTAATTATGAGGATTTAACCTTTTTTATGTTCATGCGTAGTTTTGGTCTAACTTCCAGAAACTCGACTATATCTTGGGTAGAATTGGAAAAAATACTTGTACATCCGTACTAAGAATATGACTAAGACGTTTTCATTTCTAGAAACTGGAAGAAGAGCAGCGTCGGATGGCAGAGCAGGAAAGACAGTTAAAGGAGATGCGTGAAGCTTTATTGAAAGAAGAAGAAGAAAGGCTCGAACGAGAACGAAGAATCATGGAGAAAGAACTACAACTTCAAAAGGCACAAGTAAGACGATAGCAATTTCAATTCTTTGAACGAGATACCCTTCATCTTAATTTGTTGAAGAATTGACGGAAAAATCTCGTTGAGTGAAATTATTATATGTACGGTGGAAAAAAACAGATGAAGTAGTAGTGTATCTTGTTCTCTATTGGTTTTCATAGAATTAGATTACTTTGGAATATTAAAGGCTATTGTTTCTTTTTTTTTTTTGAAAATCCAAATTTCAGGAAGAATTAGCACAGTTAGCAGCGGAAGAAAAAAAGCGAGCAGCGGCAAGAGAGCGTGAAATAGAGGCTGAAAAGAAACGATTAGCCGAAGAGATGGAAAGGACGAAAAAGGAAGAAGTGGAGAGAGCATTAGCTGAAACAAGAAGAGTATGGTGTTTTATAATAAAGCTATTATTCCCAAAATAATTTATAAAAAGATAAAGAAGGAGTATGGAGAAACAAGTTTAACATGGATTGTTGTACTTTTTTCACATGTTTTACTACTATGATTGTTTGAGAGAGAGGAAGAAAGAGAACAGAAACGACTGAAAGATGAAGCAGAAATGCATATGAAAAAGGCAAGAGAGTTAAAAAGAATGCAAGAAGAAGCTGAAGAAGCATCTCGAAAAGCAGTGGCTGAGCAAAAACAGCTGCGACAACAAGCGTCTGCGGCAGTAACCGCACGTGAAAAAGAAAATTTGCATCATAATCAACAAGTCAAGTCGAGAAAAGGGGTAGTGTAGTAAATGAAAATTATTTCTTTTAATATATTATTTAACCAAACATGTTAGAAAAATTCTTTAAACCAATTTACCACTGAATTAAAATTGAATTTAGGAAAGGGAGCATGAAATTGGACGTTACGTTGAGCCTAACTACTACCCTTTAGATAATGTGCGATAAAATTCGTAACTGTATTGTAATGGTATTTGGCGCGTAATTATGCCATTTCCAAAAAGTGTTTAATATATCTGTTGCTGAGTAGGTTTTAGATGACAACGAGTGTTACACACTAACATTTCAGAATGCTTCGAAAGAATTCATTGTTACTGAAGAATTTGCGCCTCCCTTAAGGCAGAAAGGATCAGAAAATACATCTTCGAATTGGCAATGTTCTTGGCAAACAACATATCAAAGTGGTGAAGAAAAAGTAGTCGCACCAAAAAGTTTGTCTTCTTTTTCCTGCGAGTGTTGGTACTAATCTAATGTACTTTTACTAATTTTGTCACTTCAACGATTCAAAAATAAATTTTTAGCCGCTCCATGGGTTGCTGTAACAAATAAGGGAATAGCTGATCGAAGCGAGCCAAGTTTGTTGGATATACAACAAGAGGAAGAGCGACAAATGATTGAGGAAATGAAGCATAAACAGCAGCAACAGATAAATGGTATAGCAGCTGCCGAGGCAACTCCTGCAGGAGTTTGGAGTTCTGCTGCACATAAACTTAAGTGGAGGCAGGATTTTCAGGTTTTTTTTTAATTTTTTTTTTCGTGCTGCTTTGATGATTTATTCCTTTTTCTTCTGTTTTCTTGATCATATATATATATATATAGGTATAGTGATTAAACACTATAAGCTTCAGATACGAATTCTAATTTTTTTCTCATATTGTTAGCCATATGTTTTTGCTTTTCACAATTTTTTTTCGCTTCTTTTTAGCCTGATACTGCGGTTGCACCTTTACGACAAGTTGCATGGGGTGGCGCCAAAGGTATGAATGAAATAACCACTACAAAAGCAATCTGGGATGATCCGTCGCTTTTAGATAGTGGCAAAGCTAGAACTAATAGGTACGTTGTTGGAACATACTTCTTTTTTAGAGTTTTTTTGCTTCATTTTTATAACTTGTTGTGATTATGACCAAAGTTTTTCAGAAATTTACAAAGTGCAAGTAAATCGGAACGAGGAAGTGTAGAACAAGAAGTATGTTCTAATGTCGCTTTCGTTTAGTACTGGAATTTTTGACTTTTTAAAAACTTCCGAAGTTCGGAAAAAAAAATGGAGATTTTTTTTTTTTGGGAGCGGGGAAGGATATTATTCTGAAATGGTTGGAATTGCAGTCTTATAGTGATTTCCTTTCAAAAATTTTTCAGAATAATGCACTTTTTTAGGCAGTTAAGAAAATCTTCAAGCAATCTGTTACAAGTAGCGGTAATGCTCTCACTAGCTGGATGATAAATCGAGTAAAGCAATTAAACCCACAAGTAGATGCTGATGTGTTCGCTGCGTTTATTGAAGGTGTTGATAATCCGAATGAAGTATGGCCAGAATTTCTCTTTTTTATGCGATTTTATATTTTCTAAAGCATTTAACTCTCGTCCCCTCAAGGTCTCTCTCTCTCTCTTTTAGTGAATACGGATTCTTTGAGTAAATACAGTTCTAAAACACGAAAATTTTTGCATTTAGGTAGAGGATTACATAATTGGTTATTTGGGTGAAAGTCGTTTAGTGAAGGAATTGATACGAGAATTTCTAGAGAGGCGTTCACAAGCACGTCATAAGAAAGAACCTGTTGATAAAGACGTAAGTTTGCATTCAATCAACTTGAATTTCAGATCGATTTTTGTGGAGATGTTCCAGTTTTTCATTTTTTTTATCGACTCTTGAAGTATGGCATTTCTTCATTACTTATAATTTTTCTTTTTGCAGGATTTAACTCATCCTGCACAAGCAGCAGATGCATTAAGTATTACAGCGGCGAATAGTAAATTGGATAGTTCTACCTCGCAACAAATACCAACGGGTGGTGGGAAGCGCAAGAAAAAGGGCAATAGAGGAAGTAAACTGGTTGTTGATGGTGCATGTTTGGGTTTCAAAGGAGCAGTCGATCCGAATCGTGTTAATGTTGGTGAAATCGATATTATTGATGGCAGTAATCGTTTACTTGCATAAGTGATTATCGAGAAACAAAGAAATTATTATGTCAGATTTATTTTTTTCTTTAATTTTTTAATTTTTATAATAGGTACTATCGTTCCTCGTTTTCTTTTTTTGTTTAAAAATTTTTTCCTCATTGTTTCCGTATCTATCATACTCAGCAACCGTTTCATCTGGCCAGTTTTGAATAAAAATAGGTTTTTCGTTTTTAATCATAGATATGCAGGTACTAAAACTGATGATCGAATTTTCAGCAAATCAATTGTAGTTCTATTTACAGTCCGAAAAATTTATCTGATGGTTACGATGTGAATTGTATCTGTAAAACAAAATACGAAAGTAATATAACAAATGAATGATTCGTTTGAGAATAAATCATTTCGTGGTAGGTTTGAGAGTAAATTAGTTAATAATGGCCATATTTTCTTTTATTTTTTTTATACGAAATTTGCTGCTATTTCACCAGTTTTTTTTTTTTTTTTTTTTTTTTTTGGATGTTTTTATGGAGATTTTTTGTATAGCCAAAGCAGGAAACATTCACATTTTGATCATTGACCGTCGTCGTTGCCAAGCTACATTAGTCTGATTGTGCATAATATCTATTGGATTTTATTTGCTCAATTCTACGACGACGGGGAAAAAGCAGTTTAATAATTTTCAATTTCTCCTTTGTTTATTTCTGCTTGTTACTAATTGAATGTAAATGACATGCTCCTGCATCTTGTACTGTTTAACATTTGACCTTTATGATCGAGAGACGATAACCGTAATTCATGTAAAGATTCTTTTTTTTTTTCTTTCCAATCGCTTACAGCTTGTCGAACTTATTAAAAAAGTATTGGCTTTTTTTTAAAATGATTTTATCTATTTTTCAAGAATCCCGTTACTTTACTTTGGTATTATTTTAAATTTGATTAGATGGGTTGATGTGTTTGTTTAATGCAACTATTTGTGATTTTATATTTCCAAATTTTGGTAATTTTTAACATTTTCAAATAAGATTTGAATGTTAGGTTTTTTTTTTCCAATTTTAAAAATACCATGTCTCTGTGTTTTCAAAGATTAGCCTAATTCGTTTTGGAGAGGGTTTTTTGTTTCTATGTTTTCTCAGTTTTTTTTTTTTAACTTTTTGGTATGCGATCTCTTTGATATTCTGTTACTGGTCCCGTCTCCTCCCTCTCTCTGTCTTTTTTATCTTGCATTCTTTGGCTATTCTGGCTCGAAGAGCACAGAAGTTTTCCTCAGTTTTTCCTATTATTGGCATTTTGATTTTGGCATGATTAATTATACCTCCCATCCGTTCGGATTGGTTTTCGGAAAGCTGTTGTAAAATAATAAGATGATTCTGGTGATGTAGAATTATAGGATTCCTGTAATCTAGCTAGTCTTTTTCAGCTTTGATATAAAATTAGATTAGGTGTTTTAGTATAGTTAAGTTTTATTGGTCGCTGCCAAACTGTTATTCATGGTATTTAGTAAATTAGAGAAATATACAAACAAAATTTTAAAAAAAAGAAATTCGAAAAGAAAAATAGCTTTATAATGAATACGTCGTATTCATTAGATTTAAACATACCGTCTTTTTCTATATATGTATATAATTTGGTAAGTTTCGAGTTGGTAGTAATTTTTCGGTTTCCTTTTCACTGTTTCCTCATTTTTGTTCATATAATTAGTGCAAATCTTTGCACACCAAATTGTGATACTAAATGAAATTAAATGGGAATTCCGGTTCTTCCACTCATTATAATTGATGCTTAATGACTTTCAGCTGCTTTGTATCATTTATATGACATTTTGTAGTATTAATAATGATATTTTGTTTTTTATTTGTGCATTCAATTTCATCTTTATTCTTTTCTGTATGTTTTTCTATCATTCAAATTCATCCATCCATCTTTACAAATGACTTTATTACTATCTCTCTATTTACATGAATGGATTACATAATACTGTATCACGTAATGTTATTTACACGTCATTGTACAAAAAGTCTGATATCAATGTTTATAAAATAAATGGTCATATATAAATAAGTTTCGATCAAAATTTATAATTGTTTGGCATTTAATGGGATGAAGAAAAATCTATTCTATAAATACTAATTTTATATCGTTATCATCAGTAAATGTATCATAGATTAACTTTTCTATTCTCTTTACTACATAAAGTAATATAGGAAAATTAAACTGTATAAAACAAAATATGAAAATATCAAACTATTTGAGCAAACAGAGGAAAATGTTTAATAGCAAAGTGAATTTTTTCATTCATCGAAAGGGGAATAAAAAAGAAAAATTGTTCCAAATCCAAACTTCCATACAAGCAATAAATTTTACTAGTTAATCGAGAAATCTAAAATAGTTTAGTTTCTCTTTCAGAATTTTAAAAAGCAAAAAGTAACGATGAGTTATTTGTTTGAGAACGATCAATAAAGTATTAGCTTTTAATTGTGAAAAATAAATTTGAATATGCCAGTTTTCTCGTTTTTTTTTTTTTTTTTGATCTTGAATATTAAGTTACTCAACTTTATATAATTATACAATCGGATTTTTCCACCTGCATAAAGTTGATCTTATCATTTGCACCTTTTTTCGTGAAGAAAAAAGGTACTGATCGTCAGATAATTATTAATTAAGTAAAATTAGCTAATTGTATGCATATTTTCCTTATGGTTAACTGAAATAATTAAAAACTAATAGTTAAATAAAGCAAAAACTATAATTAATGGAGTATACATTATATTATTAATTAAACATTTTAATTATTAATCTTTCTTATCCCATAAATTTTAGATTTTGATTGAGCTTTTTCTTTTTTTAAATGAAATAAACACCACAAACTCAATAATAATAATTACCGTTACTTTTTAACACATTCAATTTGTATTGAATTAATCAGAATTTAATAGAAGAAAGTAATACTGTTAAATAATTTTCATTCAAAAAATACAAGATTAAAAGAAAAAAATCAAAGATTAGTAAATTTTTATTTATTAAAAAAAAAATAAAAATATCATAAAGAAAAGTATAAGTGAAAAAAGAAAGAGGAAATGAAATCTTTCTTTTTCCTATTGTCAAAAATATTTATTTATATATATATTTTGCAATAAATTCATATTTTTTTTTTTTTTTGTTTATTTGAAATATAAAATTTATTTTTTTTTAAAAAATCATATTAGCGCTGTAGAAGGTATTTTAACCTGAGGAAATGATTTAATCTTTTTATTCATAAATTTTATCAAGAAAATAAACTTTCATTTAACTAAGAGAATTTAATTTAAAAATATATTTAAAATGATGATAAGCTAATATATCCTATAACATCATGGAATTTACTCGACTTTTTATGTTATTTTTAATATTATTACATCACAACTTTTTTTTTTTTTTTTGAAATTATTTTTAAAATTTTAAAAATTTTTGGAGAAAAATTTATAAAAAAGTAAATATCAAAAAAAAAAAAAAATTTTTTTAACATTCTAAAAATATTTTTCTTTTAACATTTAAAAAAAAATTTTAACATTTTAAAGTAGCAGCTTTTGCTTTTTCATATAATAGGATAGCAAAATCAAATATCTAATAAAATTCAAAAAAAAAAGTGATAATATTTTCAAACAATTAAAAAAAAAAATCATCGAATGAACAACTTTTTTTTTCTCATTTTTAAACTTATCTAATAATAATATATTAATTTGATGTAATATTTTAATATCAATTTAAACTTATTTCAATTTTCATTTTCATTTTCTTTTCTTTTTACACATTTAACATTTCTTCAATCTCTTCAATTTTTTTTTTTCCTTCCTTTGAACCACTTTTTTTTCTAACTTTAGTTTTATTTCAAAAAAACAAAAGAAAAAATGTTAAATAAAAAATTTGTGAATAAACAAAAAAGATAAAAAAGAATTGGTAGTTATTTAAAGTGTAAAGTTTATTTTATTTTTTTTCTTTTTTTGAAAAAAACGTTATAGAAATTGATTTTAACATACGGAAATGAATTTAATACATTAACTTTTATCATTTCCATCCATCTATTTATCAATCATTCATTAAAATTTTTGCTTTTATCATAATTTGATTGATAGATATTTTCTATAATATCATATTTTAACATTATGAAAACAATTTATCATAACATATGTCACATTTAATATTTCAATGTTTTATTACTTTCAGACTAGGAATTCAAAAAAAAAAAAAAAAAATGAATAAACAAACAACATTTGCATTTAGGAAAATAAAAAAAAAAAAAAACATAAACAATTTGGAAAATAGTAATTGTTGTAAACAATTATATAAGTAATTTCAAGTTATAACATATTAATGTAAAAGTATAATTAAAATCGTATAATTAAATTATAACTTCACATCATATTATCATTTCAATATTTTTAATTTTTATTTGGTATATACAGAAATTATTTCTTAATTTTTTTTTATCTAATTTTTTAATTAATCATTTCTTAATTTTTATTTGTTTTTTTACTTTTTTATTATTTAAATAGTGCAATTTTGTATTGAATTTCATAAAATTATTTATTTGCTAACTTTTTCTTTTCTATTTTATCTTTTTTTTTTGATTTAATTAAAAAAGAGAAAGTAAAAATGAATGAAGTTAAAATGTTAATATTAAATGATGGAAAGTTTTTTGAGTGTGAAATTTCATTATCTAATTTCTTTATCCTATTTAATGCAATTTCATATTTGTGTTTATTCATTTTTCCTAATGCTAATATTGTAAAAGAAATGAAATACATAAATTTCAATTTGTAAAAGAATTATTAGTATTTGAATTAATTAATATTCGAATTATTTGATTGCTATCATATAGCCCAATTTAAATGACTCAAATTGTGGTTTTATTTATGTTTTCAAAAAATATGAAAAATAAATAACAAAATAAATTAAAATCATTGAAAATATTTAAAATTTTTAGGATTGGCTTTCTAATTTTTTATTGGTTGTAAATATTAATTAAATTTAATATTCATGAAATTTGATAATGAAATTTTT